AAATTTATAAAAAGTTAAGTTTTAATTTTTAATTTATATAATTAATGATTTATTTAATACCTTCATTAATATTAATTTTATTTTCATTAATAATTTTATTTAATTCTTCTAGTGTTAATGTACTACTATCAGCAAATTCAAATTTTAATGCTTCGATACTTGAATTAATAACTAAAAGAGTGGTATACTGAATTCCACTAAAATAGGATGTCAATTCATCTAATGGTTTTAGTATATTTACTAACTCATTTAATAATAACCATTCATGCTCTTTAAGCATAAGACTTTTTAATTTGCTTAGTACTATCTTCATTTTGTAAATGCAAAGTTACAACAAGCTATTCAATTGCTAAATGTAAGACTAAAAGTCTTTTTCAAAATTGGTAAGTAGAATTCTATTGAGTTTTTACATCATTGATAGTACGCAAAATTTTAAATTCTGTTTCTTTAACTGTTTCTAAATCATCATCTATTTCTAATAAACTTTCAGTAGAATTATTAATTTTTTACGCTGATTTAAATCAATTTGAGCTTGATCAAGATGTTGACTTTGTTTTGAGGATCTAAAAAATTTAACAAGCTTTTGAAACCGTTTGGTATATGGTTTAATTTCTTTTAAAACCAGAATGACTGTGAGTTGAAGTGTATGTGCAGAGCAAGGGAGGCGTTCTACACCATCCCAAATTCTAATAGCCTTTTTCATATTTTTTCATTATCAGTTATTGCATAAACTATTTTTTCAGTTAATTCAAATTCCTCAATTTTTTCATTTAAGTATTCTTTGATACGTTCACCAGTATGTAGATATTCTATTCTTTCAACAGCTAATATTACATCATATATTTCAAAATTAGAAGATAACCAATGAAGAGTTACCAATGTATCCATCATTACTATGTGCTGTCCATAAGTCTGTTGTTATAGATGCAGTTTCACAAGTAATAGAAATTAACTTCTTAAGTGCTAAAATGCTTTTTTGATAAGCAATTGTAAGATCTTTTTTAATACCTTTATTATTTGGCAAAATAAATGCAGGATCAAATCTTTGTATCATTTTTTTATATCCTTTTCTATGAACAACATTAAATGGTAAGGAATCTGTAACTAACCATTCAGCTGTAACTTGTTTTAATTCTACTTGTTTAGGTACACAATATGGAGTTACTTTTCTAATCATTTTATCGATATGTATTTGAATTTCTTCATTAGAATTCAATTGAAGATCATCTGGTGATAAAATTCCATGTTTTGTTTGAAGATGTTGTTTCATGTTACCAGTTCACCCATTATGCTTATAATTTCTTTTGTATTCAACCTTTTCACCTTTTAGAAATATAATTATTTTACAAACATCACGTCCATTTTCAATTTGAAAATATTCCCAAACATAACTTGACTTTTTGGTTTTAGAATTATTATTAGTAAAATTTATTCTGATTCTTTTCACATTTGGTTTCGCTACAGGCTCCTGTATAGCTTTTAATCTAGCTGTTTCACATTTGGTTTCACTACAGGCTCCTATATAACTTTTCTTCTAGCTGTATTAGATGAAATTTCATCATCTTAAGTGTCAGTATCAGAAATATATTTATTATTATTATCCATATTTCTTAAAAAAATGGGCATAGAAAATTAATTGAAAAAGTACAAACGAAATGTTTGATTTAATTTTTATTATTTATTATTAGGATATATTGCACAATAAATTATTTCTCAAATTGGTAACAATTTATTTAAATAAATGACATCAATATTTACATTCAATTATATAAATTTCACATGTGTAAATAAATAAATAAATAAACTAAAAAATAGTAAATTGATCAAACCGATGGGTTATCCACCTGCAATTATCCAGGTTCTAATATCATGACTCAGATAACTGGCCCACCTGTGAGTAATCCAGTTATACCCGACCTGGGTCCAATTCCTAAGCTGCACATTCTAATGACCCCATAACCACAAAGTTGATCAACTTGCTAAATCCTCATTAATGTCTTCACCTTTACCTTTAAACTTTAATCAAACTCCTTATTTCTCTTATATTCCAACATTTAATAATACGCCTATCTTCACTACCTTACGTCCATTTCTTAAAGATTACATTAACACTAGACAATTTATAGATTTCTACTACTTAAAAAGAAATAGTAAATACAGTCAATTTCAAATCAATTGGTCACTAACTTTTGATTTCATCAAACTCAGCACTCCCACTGAAATCTCTTTTAAAGAGTCTCATGCACACTGCAGAAGATTTAAATTCCTTTTTAAACAAATCCTCACTATAGAATTCATAAAATCAACCCAACCTACTATTTATAACTCTACATGGTTGTGCTGTTATTACAATACTGACAAAGAATACTTTAATCACATATGGATTTGTTCTAAAGTGAAAAAAAAGATGAAACAAATCATCACAGCAGCTCTTAATGTTCTAAAAAATCAACTCTTTATATATACTTCACGAACAGTTTACCCTCCTGACATTAATTCATTGTTACTTTCCCCACGTCTTTTTTGGGCTTTAAAAAAGGATCCTTACAACATTTCTTTCATAGATTTCATCAAAGGCATAGTTCCCTTCTCTCTTTCTAGGTTATTCGACTTTTTTATCAACTCTTTCTCTCACATCTCTAAAATCCTTTTCCCATTTTATGATTACATTTTTGATCAATCTTACGAAGTTATTTGGAAATCTAGATGCGCAGCTACTATAGAAAAAGAACGATCACTTAACATCTTGAAATATAGCAAAAAATGAAATTATAGCCTTCTAACAATTTTCCTATTAACAGTTTTTCAAACTCATCATTATCTTTGCCTGAATATAAATATGATTATACTTCCCTTATGACCAAATTATTTGTTCATGAACAGAAATGGTCTTTCTTTCTAATACAGTAATAACTATTTATCAAATATTTTTCTCTTTTTTAGTTGAGTGGCAATGTTAATTCTACTAGTGATTGTTACTGAAACCTGACGAGACAACCGATTGATCTGATTGGAGTTAGTCTACTAATGATGATTATTAGACAGCATTAAAGATGAATACTATAATTAAGAAGTTGCAACTTAGTTGTAACTCCTTGTAAATTTATTTTAATATAAAAATTCATAAATAGTTGCAACTTAAAGTGTTGCAACTTAAGTTACAACTAGTTAAAAATTTTTAAAATAATTATAGGAACCATCTTTAGGCAGTATTTTTTATTTTTCTACATTTGTATCCTTTTTTGGGATTTTCATGTTTTCTTTAAAACTGATTATGAATTTTTTAATAAATAAATGCATTACTACGTCTTTAAAAAAAAAAAAAGCTGATTCAAAATCAATGAATTTTAGCTCATTGGATTCATTTAGTCAAGGAATTGAATGGTAGTTGTTTCATACGAATCAGAACGATATTAATCAAGATTGTACATCTTTTGTTTTTTTTTATATATAAAGATATAATGTCATTTTGATCATTCGACTTTTCTTTTCGACTTTGCCTTCTAAAAATCGAAACATTTCGACTTTTAGGTTTTCATTTCAATTTCATGTATAGTTACAACTATATTACAACATATGTTATAATAGTAGTATGTTATACTATATTCATAAAATCTATTATTTTTAACCTCGAATATAGTTGATAAATAAATTTTATTAGTATATCAAGTTTTTAATAGTATATCAGTATATAGAATATCAGTATATTGAGATCTGACTGTATATATTAAATATTTTAATAAATTTAACTTACTTATTCTATAATAAACAAAATAAATAATAAAAATTTACAAAATATACTATATTTAAAAATTATTGAAATACAGGTTATTTGTTATTTATTATTTAAATCATTTGCTAATCATAATCATTTGACAAATACTAATTTTAATATATAGCTTAAATATTATAACCTTTTTAAAATAATTATTTTTGGAATTAAAACTACATTAAAACCTATTAAAAATTTAAGTAAAAAATTTATTATAAATACAGTTTAATTTTAAATATCTTGAAATTTAAATATCTTGAAACTTAAATAAATACTTTGTAATAGTAAAATAAAATAAAATAAATAAAAAAAAAATCTAAAAAAATTCTCTTTAAATTACTGTTTAATCTAAAATTTACTAAAAAAAAAATAATAAATTAAATTTTTTTTTGTTATTTCTATTTATTGTAAAGCATCTATATTATATAATTTATATTAACATTAGGCAATTGAACAATTATGGATATATTTAATAGGTTTTAAACACATTTTCTTATGTACAAAAGCTTATTCTTTAAAAAAATAATTTTTATTATTTAGTTATTTATCAATTAAGGGATAGTAATTGTCAATAATATATAAATATTCTTTTTTATTTTAAAATAAAAATTATCAATTATATAAAGAAATTTGTTCAATTTAATATTTTAGTATTTAATAAATATTTAAATATACATATAATCTTAAACGTTTAATGATAATTTGTATACAATCAATGTATACAACATGTATTATAAATTGTATAAGAAGAATAAATGAGGCAGGGAAAGGATTTTTTTCCTCTGCTTGTAATACTTGTAATAAAGCAATATAATTTAATAATGTAAAGGAAATGTTTGGTTAAAGAGTCATGGTCAAAAATGATAAGTTCCTTTTTACGCGTGTTACAAAGTTTTTAAAGTGTTAGAATTTTCAACTTTATAGTATAGATTGTTGATATATGTCAACTTCTCATTGCTTTATTTATATTATTTTAATTCTAATTTTCTAATTATGATTATTTACTCATCCGATTCTAGGAACATGGCCAAATTAATGTTTAAAAGAGACGAAGGAAGAATAACTCTTACATGTACTGATATATATTAGCTCCTTACTTATATCAGGGTCACTACGGGCGTAGAATTTTAGTGCGACCAGTAGAGACATTCGATAATATAAGTAACTTTTGCTTTAATCATCCGTCTCCAACTGTTTATATATATATAACGCTGGATTAGTTATATAAAACTACCATTCTTGCGAGGTTTCTTTGTAAACTCCACATTGTCTCGTGCACAATCAATTAATGGTTCTCTCTTTAATGCAGCTGATTGATGATCCTGATAAAATTCAAAAGATTCTAAAATTGCTTGATACATGGGAGCTTTAAAGTAGAAAGGTACGAAACTCTAAAAAAATTTTTTTTTGAGTTAATGTTAAATCTCAACTTATTTTACTAAAAAAAATCATATTTAGCTTATAAAGTAAAATTTTAATTTTTAGAGTTTCGTACCTTTCTACTGCAAAACGCCCACATGTAGTTAAGGATTTTCTTTCACCGACATTCTCCTTTTGTTAACCTTAAAAATCAATACCAGCAAATGTATAAATTAAAGATGATGTGAATCGTCTTTTAGTATTACGTTTTGCCATTATCAGATTGTAAAATTAGTGTCGTAATTACAGCAAATATCATGTCACTTCTGGCCCAACCCAACTCTAATTCATATAAGATGATGGTTTGTCGTAACAACTTCCAATGCATTCTTGCTCCTATATTTAAAAACAAAAAAAAAAGATAAGTTTGTACTTTGCTATTTCATTATTTCATGTAAATTACCGCGGACTGCGTTACTTATGTCTAAATCTAAATTTGCATAGGGATTATCCTAATATATGCATCATATTCCTCATCTCTTTAACTAAACGACCAATTTTCAATAATCCACTCTCACGAAAAATGTACACAAATATTTCGTACTTCCAATTGGAGACTTTGGTATTTAGCAAGTATGATGCACCAAATTCTTGAAGAGAAAAGCCATAAATTTGTGCAACAGAAGTCGCGTCTTAAAAAAAAGATTACAGATGGTACGTAACGCGTTTTTTTTTCTAAGTGAAACGAATCCACGGTAACTCGAAGGCTCCAAATTTAGTTACTGGATGAACAACTATTTGATACACAAACCATTCATAATTAAATTGCCCCAACAAATTGAGCCATTTTACCATTTAAGGAAGTATACCAAACCTTGTGACTTGTACAAATTTGACCATTGAAATTCTAATTTGTACATATATGTTCTTATTATATATATATACCTGCACATTATGGGAACCTTTTTGACATAAAGACGCCATATGATTAATTTGTTCTTTAAATTTTTTATTAGGAAAAAAAAATAAAACTTGATTCAATCCTGATTTAGAAGCAAAGGAAATTGAACTTTAAATCCTCAAGTTGTCATAAATTTCCTTATTTTGATGCATTAATATTTATTATCCAAGTGAAGTATTGGTTCGGAATGGAACTTTCAAAACATCAAATTTAATTTCAGATGATTAAATTATTTAATTATTACCAGACAAAAATTTATCGAGTGAATTCTTATTTATTCTTTAATTCGATTTTAAATTAGAATCTTGGCGTAAGAATAAAAATTATTATTATTCACATGTTGCACGTTCAATTTGATTTCTGTACACTACAGTCCGGAAATTTTTTCATAGGGTCTACATTATCTTCGTTATCATCCAATTATACACTTGATTTATACATCAATGTAACATCTTATATAAGGTAAACAACGGAATCCCTTTGCATTAGTTCTGCATAACTCTTCCATGGAATTCTGTGTATTACATTGCTTATTTAAAAAGGTTTTTTTTTTTTAAAAAAAAAAATTTCTTCTCGAATTTTATATCATATATACCTTATATAAATATATTTTTTTTTTCAAAAAAAAAAAAAAGAAGAGCAAAAATGAATATGGAACATTATAAACTAAAAATTGATTTTTTAATGGAAAGTGGACCCGCGCCTTCAAGTATGGTCTTGGTTCCGCAGCACGCGAGGCGCGACCAGGTACAACCCAGGAAAAAAAAACCATTATTTAAAAAATCTCCTGAATATAAAGCATGTATTGAATGTAATAAAAGAAGGCCTCTAGATGAAACTCAAGGAGTTTGTCGAATTTGTCATAAAGCAGCCAAATTATTTAAACCAACCGGAAATAAAGTTGTGGACGATTTTATCAGGAATACACAAATTAGACTTTATCTAGAGGTTGGAGTAATGGAGTTTGTTCCTTATGATCGATTCCAAAATATAGAATACGTTGCCGAAGGTGGATTCAGTAAAATTTATAAAGCCCAATGGACAGAAGGTTTTCTTTATTGGGATGAGAACAAGTTGAATTTTGAACGGTCTGGTCCTATGAACGTTGCTTTAAAAAGACTTAACGATTCTGAAAATATCACTTATGAGGAGTTAAATGAGGTATAAAATTTTTTTTCCTTTCTTTTTCGTCGTAATTACAACGATAAAAATTCGTTAACGTGTGAATCTTTTTTTTTTAAAAAAAAAAAAAAAATCCAGCTTAAAATTTTTTACCTCCGTAGTTTAAAATGGAAATTGGAAAGGCATTCGGATCTTAATTATGTAAATCGGTGTTATGGAATCACTCAAGAACCCTTGTCAAAAGATTATATTATAATTATGGAATATCATCAATATGATTTAAATCATTACATAATAGATGAATTTAACTATATCCCTTGGTGCAAGAAACTGTACACCCTGCACAGCATCACAACTGGGCTAGAGTATATTCACAATTCTGAAACAGTTCATCGAGATCTTCATGGTGGTAATATCCTCATTGTAAGAAATTTTTCAGTGTTATGTGACTTAGGATTGAGTAGATCTTCAATCGAATCAGCGAAAGATGCACAAGGGGATAGTGAAATTTACGGAGTCGTACCATATGTCGCTCCAGAAATTTTTGAAGGAAAAAAATATACAATGGCTTCAGATGTATATAGCTTTGGTATGATTATGTGGGAGTTTATGAATGGTAGAAGGCCTTTCTGTGATAAGAAACATGATGCAGAACTTATTGTTGAAATTTGTGATGGTCTTCGTCCTTCAATTGTCACAAATGCACCTATAGGTTATATTGAATTAATGCGAGAATGTTGGGACCATGATCCACTTAAAAGACCGGTTGCCGCTGAAATTACTAAAAGAATAAATGATATGTGGGAATTTGAACGTAAAGCCGCGACGGAAATATATCGAAATTGTGAAATTGGACCGACCAGATTAAAACACCCAGAAGCAATCTACACTAGCAGGCTATTAAGTGGGTTAATAAAATCCGCTATGTTTGTAATGTCAATCAAAAGTCTGAAAAATCAATCGGTTACTTCTATTACTTCTAATAATAATGCTTTAGGTAAATATTATATGGTAACAAAAAACAAATATTAAGTGTTATTTATGATAATAATCTTAATTTACTTCTCTTAATAGTTAAAAGAAAGCCTGATGATAATTTGACGGAGGACAAGGATAACAAGGACGAAAACAAGGATAAGGATAAGGTCAACAAAGACAAGGACAAGAAGAGGGCCAAAAAGAAAAAATTATCCGAAGATTAAAATAATAGTAAAGACATCATTTTCATCTTTTTATTAAAGAATTCGCAGCTTTTTTTTAAAAAAAAAAATTTGCTTTAACGTTTACGTCTCTTTTTGTATTTCTTAATTATATTCAAACTAGATTTACATTTCTTAAACAAGATTTGAAGAGGTCGTCGTTTGGAATTATTTAGTTATTATTCATCTTAGATTTTTATAGTAGACAATATTCGTCCGTATAAGCTTATACTACTCTTCAACATATTTGCAAAGTTATGAAATTGAATGGGTTGGTTATTCAGTTAATCATAAGGCAATGTAATTAATTAAACATTAACGATTAAATATTTTGATGTTGCTTGACATGTTTTAATGTTTGTTATGATTGTAAGTAATTGTATATTGATTATATTTAACTACCAATTGAAGAAACTATTGCAACTATCAATTCACGTGACAGATTTTTTTTTAAATAAATTTTACTGATTAAAAAGCCTATGCTAAATTTAAATTATAAAAACTAATTGAGCAATTCCATAGAAGAAATGAAGCACAAATTATGTATGAAATATCTCAATTAATTGTAATATAAAATTTTATGTAATTGCAAATTTTTTTTAAAAAATTTACAAATTTATTAATGTATTTATTTCCTAAATATATAATCTAAATATTTAAAAAAAAATAATATATAATTTAAATACTTTTTTAGCTTTTTTAATAATATAAAAAGAAGTTAAATATTGAATTATAAAGAATTAAAATACTTTATTAAAAAAGTTAAAATTTAAATTAATAACGATAAGTAAATTGCAAGCAAATTTGCAAAATCATTTAAAAATATAAAATTTTATGAATATTATAAAAATAATAAATTATATGAAATTAAGGTTGCTATTCTAAACTATAAAAATGGTTTCCATAATTATTTTTAATTTTCATTTGAGTTGCAACTTAGTGTAACATTAATAAATTAAATTGTGACACTAATTACAATACAATTGCAACATTTTTTTGTAGTTGCAACATTATCTTTACTAAGCTACTAAAATTAGTTTTAGTTAAATAAAACTAATATCAGTTCAGCTAAAGATGATGCAACAATTAATTTTAAATTTACAACTTGTTGCAATATAAGCTAAACTTAGTTGCAACATATGTTGTAACGGTATAAGTTGCAACATATATAGATTAAAACTAATTGCAATATATAATGCAACATTAAAAATTACAACGCATTAATTACAGTTCTTATTTTTAGTTTCAGCTATTAACTAAACTAGTTTTATTAAGTCTAAACTATAGTATTTTAGTTTTGCATAGCAAAATTATATAAAATAATAAAAAGAAAAATATTTTTTAATATAATATATTTAAATTATATAAATAATTTATAATTTATAATTATTTCCAAATAAAATAATTTGTTTTTAAAAGCTTATAATTTATTAACTATAAATGTTAAATATATAATTTTATATTTATTTATTTATAAATCTAAATAAATATACTATAAAAATTTAATTATTTAATTATTAATTTATTTTATGTAATTTAGTGATTTATATCAATTTTTTTTAAATTTAAATAAAAAATTTATTTAAGAAATTTAACTATTAAAAAATTTAATTTACTAAAATTCATTTAAATTAAAATAGTTAATCACAAAATATTGATGATTAAAGATTAATTTGATAAGATTAAAGATGATATTTAATTAAGACATTATAATTCAGTAAGTTACAACTTCTTGTAAATTTATTTTAAAATAAAAATTTATAAATAATTATAACTCAAGTTGCAACTAGTTAAAATTTTAAAACTAATTGCAATTCTATCTTTACTTAATATATATAAAATTGGTTATAGTTAAACCTCTTTATAATGAATTTATATATTCTGAATTTTTTGTTATTGTAAATTATATGAAAAGTTTCAAAGTTATTAAATAAATATAAATAATTGAATATAACAAATTTTTATAATAAAACTTACTATTACAGTGGCTTACAAAAGAAACGCAAGTAGAGTTGCTTGCCTTTAAAAGCTTATAACTCACCAACCGCGAATGCTAGAAACATGGTTTTGTATTTGTTTTAAACCTCAAAACCTAACTAATATTCAGTAAAAATTTGAAGTGCG